AAGGCCATGCCGGGAAGGGAGCATGTTGCTGTATCCAGTGACCCAGGGGATGTTACGGTGGACAGTGTACCTGGAGGGCGGGCCCCGCAGGGTGAACCATGCTGCAGTTGCTGTTGGGCATCGGGTCTACTCCTTCGGGGGTTACTGTTCTAGTGAAGACTGAGACGCTGAGACAGATTGATGTGCACATTTTCAATGCAGTGTCCTCGTGTTGGACAAAGCTGCCCCTGGTGAGGCCTGCCACCCATGGACAGGCTCCTGTAGTACCTTACATGCCATATGGACACTTGACTGTCCTCATTGATAACATAGTCTTTCTTTGGGGTGGGTGGAATGGCACGGAAGGGGCCTGCAACGTTCTCTATACCTTTGACGTCAATACTCACAAGTGGTCCACACCCCGAGTGTCGGGAACAGTTCCTGGGGCCCAGGATGGGCAGTCAGCCTGTGTCCTGGGCAAGACCATGTACATTTTGGGGGGCTACGAACGGCTGGCAGACTGTTTTTCCAATGACTTTCACAACGTAGATACCAATACCATGACGTGGACCCTTATTGGTACAGAGGGGAACCCTGCGCGCTGGAGGGACTTCCATTCAGCCTCCATGCTGGGAAATCACATGGCCGTCTTTGGGGGTCTTGCCGACCGCTTTGGGCCATTCCACTCCAACAATGAGATTTACTGCAACCGCATCCGCGTCTTTGACACCAGGACCAAAGCCTGGCTGGACTGTTCACCTACCTCAGTGCTGCCTGAGGGACGCCAGAGCCACTCAGCGTTCGGATATAATGGAGAGCTGTACATCTTTGGTGGCTATAATGTAAGACTGAATCAGCATTTCCATGACCTCTGGAAGTTTAACCCTGTGACCTTTACTTGGAAGAAGATTGAACCAAAGGGGAAGGGGCCCTGACCTCGTTGGCGCCAGTGCTGCTGTATTGTTGGTGACAAAACTGTCCTCTTTGGGGGTACCAGTCCTTCTCCTGAGGAGGGCCTTGGAGATGAATCTGACCTCATAAATCATTCTGACTTGCACATTTTGGACTTCAGCCCTAGTCTGAAGACCTTGTGCAAAATGGCCAAGATTCAGTATAACCTGACCAGTCCTGTCTGCCCCATGATATCAGGTGGGAGCTGAATGCCACGACCACCAACAGCAGTATCAGTCATCCCATCGTCTCCTTCCATGGGTAGGAGGAAGTTTCTGCAGTCTCCCCACCTGAGCCTGCTGTTGTCTTCACTGCCCCTGACCATCTCTCACCCCCCTACTCCTTTGAATCCTGGACTCCATACACCTCCACATGGAGTTGCTGACTAGAGGTGTTTTCTGTGCTGTGAACTCAGTGGGGAGTCACTGGGGAGACAGGTAGGTCTCTCCCCATTTGGGGCCAAAGGCCTCTTTCCCTTGGTACTGTGTCTCATCCACGCTTCTCCAACTACTCCTGGGCCTCTCTGCTCTGCCCCTGGCTAGTCACCCTGGGAAGGAAAAAGAAAGGGGAGAAAGGCAAAGCAAGCAGTGTCTGACTGAGCCTCAGGAGCTTCCTCAAAATCTTCCTCTCCCTCCCTCTGCCTGAGCCATGCGAGCATTGACTAGGAGCTGAGAGGAGTTGCAGCTATTGGCATGAAACCTCTTTCTCCCTCAGCCGGGGACCAGCAGATAATCCGACCCATTTGCTGCCTGAGTTGTTGCTGTAACCTGAAGCTCAGCCAGCTCAGATTTTGTAAAAATTAAAAACGTCAAACCGTGTATTAAAAAAAAAAGAGTACTGAAAATACCATGGACTGCTAGGAGAACAAACAGGTTTGTCTTGGAGAGGGAGAAGTCGGGCTGCTCCTTGGAGGCAAGGATTCTGAAGCGTCGTCTGACATACTTTGGGCATGTTGCAAGGAGGGATTAGTCCTTGGAGAGGGACGTCATGCTTGGGAGGGTGGAGGGACAGCCCAGGCAAGGAAGACCCTGGATGAGGTGGATTGATTCAGTGACTAGGGTAAGGGGGTAGGTGTGTTAGAGACAATAAGATTGGCACAGGATAGAGCAGGGTTTAGGGCTGTTATACATAGGGTCACTTATGAGTCACAGGTGACTCGGCGGCACATAATAACATAACAATGATCATTTAACATCTCTCTCTTCCACCAGACCTTGAAGGCAGGGACCATGAGGCAACGTGTGCAGTGCTTAGCACTTTGTGTGGTATGTATACAGTAGGTGTTTTACTAGTATTTGTTTAAGATTAACTATATACAATTAATGCTACATAGCCATATAAAAGGATAATAATATAGAATCATTTATTGACATGAAAAGTTACCCATAATGTTAAATTAAAAAACATTAGATTATAAAACAGTAGCTATAGCATGACCTATTTTTACAAAAAGAAAAAGAACAGCAACATGATTAAAATGTTAATAGTGGTGGGATTAAGGATGAACTTTTTGGTCATTTTTCAATCTTAATTATTGATTTCTCACTGCCATCAAGTCAGAACTGACACATACTTGACTCTTTAACAGGTTTTCATATGCCAAAAGGAGGACAAGAGGAGATTGCCCATTTCTCTCCAATAGAGGAAATGGTGGATTTACCTTTGGGTTACCAGATGATAGATGGAAAAAAGATTGAAGAGGGCCACCTGAAGAAGAATGTGGCATCAGGATTGGAGGAAGACTCATCAACAGTCTGCACTGTGTAGGTGACAGAACCTTACTTGCTGAAAGTGAAGAGGACTTGAAACACTTGCTGAAGAAGATCAAATGCTGCAGCCTTCAATACTGATTACATCTCAACATCAAGAAAACAGAAATTATCACCACTGGACCAACAGGCAACATCATGAGATCAAATTTGTCAATGATTTCATTTTACCTGGATCCACAAACAACATCCAGGCTAACAGTCAAGAAACAAAAGACAAGTTGAATTGGGGGAATCTGTCAAGGACGTCTCTGAAATGCTAAAGAACAGGGATGTCAGCTTAAAGGGGAAGGTGCCTGAGCTAAGCCATGGTGTTTTTAATTGTTTCCATTGGTGGCAACATGATAAAAGGAGAAGAGATTGAGGTTGCTAACAATCTCAGCTTGCTCAGCTCCACAATCAACACTCTTGTCACCAGCAGGCAGGAAATCAAAAGACGAATTACTCTGGGGAAAGCTGCTGTCAAGGACCTCTCCAAAGTGCTAAAGAGCAATATCAGTCTTGAGACTAAGATTCCCCTGATTCAGGCCACGGTCATTGCAATTACATGCTATGCATCAGAGAGAGAGCTGGACAAAGATTAGGGGTGATAGAAGAATTGTTGCTTTTGAATTGTGATGCTGGAGAAGAGTATTGAACATACCATGGACTGCCAGGAGAACAAACATCTTTATACTGGAGAGGGTGAAACCAGGCTACTCCTTGGAGGCAAGGATTTTGAAGCTTTGCCTCACATACTTAGGGCATGTTGCCAGGAGGGATCAGTCCCTGGAGAAGGACATCATGCTTGGAAGGGTGGAGGCACATCACAGGAGAGGAAGATCTCAGATGAGATTAACTGATTTAGTAGCTGGGATAATGAGGGTAGGTGAATTAGAGACAGTAAGACTTACTCAGGATAGAGCAGAGTTCAGAGCTACTGTCCACAGGGTCTCAATGAGTCGCAGGAGACTTGATGGCACATAATAACAAAAACAACAAGGAATAAGGAAGAGCAAAGAAGAATCAATGCCTCTGAATTGTGGTGTTCACAAAGAATAGTGAAGATACCAGACTGTCAAAAGAACAAACAAGGAGGAATAATCTCCTCCTGTACTAGTCAGATCCGATTTGACAGTACACACATTAAAAAAAAAAAAAGAACAAACAAATCTCTCCTGAAGGAAGTGTAACCAGACTTACCCCTTAGAAGCAAGGATGGTGAAACTTGGTCTCATGTTGGGCATATTTTTAGGAGGAACCAGTCCTTGGAGAGACACATCATGTAGGTTGGGGGTCAGTGAAAAAGAAAACACCATCAATGAGATTGATTGACACGGGGACAACCACAATGGGGCTTGATCAGAACAAAGGTCATGAGGCTGGTGCAGTGTTCAGATGTGCTCTTCAGAGAGTTGCTATGAGTTGTAGTCAACTTGATGGCACCTAATACCAAAAGTAATCATTGATTTATTAGTTTGTGCTTCAACAATTATTCGCATTTTATAAAAAAATAAAGTGGTCAGAAATACCACTTTTGCTCATTCATAATAGAACAACTAAGTATGACATACAATAATCATAAATTGATTATCAGAAAAAACCCTTGGATTTCTGAATGCAAATCAAAACATGGGATTATATTAAGTTTCACATTACTTTTTATAATGAACTTCTAATAAAATGATCTATATGATATCTTCATCTATTAATGACACTTACATTTTCTTTTTCAACCATGATACTCACTAAATCTTCTCTTTTTTTACTTTCCTACTCAGTACACAGCAGATAGAACTGACTTCAAATTCTTGCTGATGGTCAACAAAGCTAAAATACAGTAGATTTCTGAATGTTAAAAAAAAAAGCCAGAAGCTGCTAAATTTAAGGTACCCTCTTTTTACAAAGCAAATTTATGACGGTGATGTTTTCCCAACAAACTACCAAAATATTACTAAAACTCTAAAAGTTTAACCATTTTAAACAAATGTATTTAATACTCTTACTGATTATAAAATTACAATTGGACAGTTTTATGATCAGCTTGTTTAAGTTTCCCTTTTAAAAGATGTTAATTTACATAAATAAGACACAGATGATTTGTACTGAGAAAGGACTCACTCCTATTTCTCTTAGAAGTATAATTGCACTTATTTTACATAGAAATTTGCATTATTGTGGGGAACTGGCAAGTATTTTTTTATATAAATTTCTTTTCCCAACTAAGAATAGTTGAAAGAAAAGTTGCATTGAGAGTTGGTTGCAAAAAAGAAAAAAAATAGATTGGCTACCACCTGTCTTTTAGTAACATTCACATGAGGTTCTTGCCAGTTTGGATCCATTGACACAAAGACTTCAGCACCATATCATGTAACACTATGACCTATAAAACGTGACAGTACAACCCAGGAGAACAACCATTTCATACTTTCTCATTTTCAGTAAAAAGTCTAACAAAAGTGATAAATATTGTGCGTTAAGAGTTTAATCACATAATACAAATCATTTATAGTACAAATCGCAATGAAGAACAAGTGCTGGCAAGCTAAGCTTTACGTATTCTTTGGAAGTATAAAAAGTTCAAAGATGTCTTCTCCGTTTTCACTTCAGATCCAGCAGCATAAAAGCTGGGTTTTCTAAGTAGGATTTCCACAAATTAGAGAAGCGGGACATTGTAGCACCGTCAATAACTCTGTGATCAGCTGACCAGCTCACATTCATTATCTGAGCCTTGTATACTTCTCCTTTCTGGTTAAATCGAGGAAGAGCCTAGAAATAAGAAAAGATGAAAGAGTAACCTTTACTTGCTCAAAGTTGAAGTTCTAGTGACAGCAGTGGCATTTGTAAGATCAGAGAAACCCCTCCCTGTGTTAGGAAGGGGATGGAGATCCCAGATGACTTCTGAAAAAGCTCACAGTTTCCCTACTGTTTTTGCATAAAGTTCTTTGTCTTCCCACAGCTAATGCCTTAATAGGGAGAGACAATAAATAAAAGTATATAATGTGCTAGATGGTGAAGAATGTAAAACGAAAAAGAATATTTTAGAAATCGGTTAGAGAGTGTCACCTGGGTGTGGAGGGAGGGGGAAAGAGGTAATCTTTTACCTCACTTTTGTTGTCATGTGCTGTCTACTTGCCTGTGATTTAGAGTGACAATGGCTCTGAAGCCTTCCCTGTTCTGAGCCAGTCTCACTGACTCAACACTTGTGCCTCCCAATTGCCCCAGTTTCTGTATCAATCATCTTATCCGGGGTCTTCCTCTCTTGAGCTGTCCCTCCACCCTTCCAAGCATGATGTCCTTCTCCAAGGACCCGTCTTTCCTGGCCACATGCACAAAGTATGTGAGACAGAGCTTCATAAACCTACCTCACTCAGAGGTTTTTAAACTGATGGGTAACTGGAGGAGAGGGCAGTGAAGGGGTGTGACAGGAGTGAGGAAGGAACGGCACAGAAGAAGGCTGTGGCTGTGGAGGGGACGGGGTGCTTGGGGGACAGGGGTGTTTGATGGATGGGGTGCATGGTGAGAGATGAATGAGGTCACACACAGATGGACTGGGTGAATGTGGGGCTTATCATTAACAGCAAAGCTTCAAAAGTGTCTTGGTTAAGTGACTTAAAAATTTTTTCAAATGTTTTTATAAATGTTTTTATTAAAAACATTAAAAAGAAACAACTAGAAAAATTAAGTAAAAAGTTATTTAAATTCAAGCTCTAATTTCTATTAACACATTTAACATATATAAAATCATTCTGTCAAACTGCTATGAAACTTTCTGTCATTCTGCACTTTTTTCCTCGCTGCTTGGAAACAGCAGCTCTGGGCCTTGTAACAAGGGGGTCCTGAGTAGACCCTGAGTAGCACCACTAGGAGCAAGTGCAGTACTTTGCCTTTTATTCTGAATGATCACCACTGGACCAATTGGCAGCATCAGGATGGATGGTGAAGAGATTGAGATTGTTCACAGCTTCAGTTTGCTTGGCTCCACAGTCAACACTTGTGGCACCAGCAGCCAGGAAATTAAAAGATGTATTGCGATGGGAAAGTCTGCTGTTAGGGACCTCTCTAAAATACTAAAGAACAATGGTGTCTCTCTGGAGACTAAGGTGCACCTGATACAGGCCATGGCCTTTGCAATCACTTGTTATGCATCAGAAAGTTGGACAATGACTAAGGAGGATAGAAGGAGAATTGATGCCTTTGAGTTTTGGTGTTGGAGAAGAGTATTGAGGGTACCATGGACTGCTAGGAAAACAAACAGATTCATCCTGGAGCGGGTTAATCCGGGCAGCTCCCTGGAGGCAAGGATTCTGAGGCTTTCTCTGACATACTTTGGTCATGTTGTAAGGAGAGACAGGTCTTTGGAGAGGGACATGATGCTGGGGAGAGTAGAAGGACAGCGCAGGAGGGGAAGACCCTCTATGAGGTGGATTGATTCAGTGACTGGGGTAATCAGGATGGGAGTGTCAGAGACAGTGTGATTAGCCAGGACACAGCAGAGTTTAGGGCTGTTGTACATAAGGTCGTTATAAGTCGTAAGTGACTCAATGGCACAGGACAACAACATCACGGGATCTAGAAAGTTATTGGAAGTTTCTGGGCAGAATGACCATTCACTAAAAGGGGAAAACAGGTTTTGGGGTGGGGGATGGTGAAGCAAGGACTCAGGCTAGGATGTGTTAAAATTCAAGGTGCCAGTCTGACATTCAAGCACGAAGTGTTTGCAGGTCAAAGAGAGGTTAGATCATGAGATACCAGCCTGAAAGCACCAGCAAGTGAATGGATCCAATCACTAAAGGGGTCAAGACTGAGCCCTGGGGCACGCTAATGTTTCAACATAACTCATTTACTCGCAAGTCAAAACTGCCGCCAAGTGGACCCTCCAAACACATCCCTCTGATGGTGGATGTGAACCACGTGTTTTTGGGTTGGCAGCGCAACTGTCTACCCACTAGACAGACCATCAGAGCTCAGTTTGAGACTGGAAATATAAAGATGATGTACAAAGAAGACTCAGAAAAGTGGTAATAAGCTAGGAAGAAAACTAGGATGGTGTGGCTTTCTGCTAGCCAAAGTGAAGAAAGTGTTCCAAGGAGGTAAAGATGTCTCAAGTGCAGCTAGGAGTCAGAATGAAGTAATAACCATAGAGGTTATGCAGGGGTCCCTCAGTGGCGCAAGAGGTTTCTATTCAACTTATGTCCCTGGGTGAAAAGCCCAGCAATCTGCCTCTGTAAGGACTATAGCCCAGAGAGTGCTAAAGAGCATTCCGAACTATAGCATATGCGGTCACCATGAGGCAGAACTGATTTCAAGGCAACAGGCTTGGTTTGGAGTTTACTCAACAACAATCTGTCAACAAGAAGTTTAAATTGTATACTGAAAACAGAAACTAGCAAAATAGAGAACACATAAAGGGTAACGAAAAGCAATTAAATACTATTTGTCTCAACCCAACATAGTAAGTCATTACTAAGATTTTCTATGCTAAGAACTATGCATCACAACTTGAAAACAGCACAGATAATGTGTTTCTGCGTCTGGGAGGCCTAGTGGGTAAGGAGTTAGCTGCCAACCCCAAGGCAGTCAGTTTGGCAGTTCGAATCCACTAGTTGATCCTTGGGACAAAGGTGGGATATCTCCTTCCACATAATTTCATTTACTTCCTCTAAAAACTCAGTTCCAACTCAACAGCACATAACAGAGAAGTCAAACAAAACAAAACAAAAAAACAAACTACCAAACAGGCTTGATGACCTGGAGGCCAGAAGAATCTGATGAGAATCAAATATTGAATTTTTGTTGAGAAAAGAATGACAGATAAATTATCACGAAGAGAAAACTCCTGATTTGTAAAAAACTATCTCATGCTGTGATCAAAGTGCTGTACTTTTTTGTTTCCTTTTCCCAAAAGCCTCTGTGTGCCAGAGGGAAAGCGGATTCTAGGAAGAGGGGTAACATAGCAGCTAAAGCAGATCAAAGGTTGAAGGAAAGTGTTTGCAAAGGCTTTGGATGCCAATTTGTAAAAGACAAATCCCAGTGATATTCAATGTGGAAGCATTAAGTGTAAAAAGAGAAAAGGTTCTCTTTAGGGCACAAACAACAAATCCAAGGTTAATAACAAATGACATTCAATGAAGGTGCTACCAGGAGCTCTTCTCCCTCTAACTCAATGGTTCGCAATTAACTTAATAGAGATGCCTAGGCACCATCTCTAAAAATTCCGATTCAGCTGGTTTGGAGAAAGCTTGAGAATAATTTTTTAAAGCCTTCCACAGAATTCTAATATGCAGCTAAGGTTAAAAATCACTGCCACTCCTACTCTAAATCAGTGTCTTCTAAACATAACACAGATGTACCATGTTGAAACCTGGGTTCTGGGTACTCCACTTCAAGGATAAGAAATTTGCATTTATAACTAGTACACTCAATAAGTTGTGGTGCTGGAGAAAAGTGTATACAACAGACCGCCAAGAGAACAAACAGGTCTGTCCAAGAGAGGGTGAAACCAAGCTGCTTCTTAGAGGCAAGGATTTTGAAGCTTAGTTTCACATACTTTGGGCATGTTGCCAGAAGCAAACAGTCCTTGGAGAACAGCATCATGCTTGGAAGGGTGGAGGGACAGTGCAGGACAGGAAGACCCCGGATGAGATGGATTGACACAGTAACTGGAGCAATGGGGGTTAGTGTGTCGGATCAGTGAGACAGGCTCAGGACAGGACAGGTTTTAGAGCACAGTGACGGTCACTTACAGGTTGCAGGTGACTTGATACAACAACCACATTCAGTGTTTTTTGAACAAAGTTTAAGAAGACTGCTAAACAACAACTCACTTCTTTACAAACAACAATTTACATGAGATTACTATCATTCTTTGGTATTCTGAAATAAAGACAATAAATTGACAAAAGCAAAATGGCTGTATTTGCACATTCTTATAGGTTCACTTTGTGCCTAACATAAGCCATAATGCTGACACAAAACCAATCCAGATCACCACCATGTATTACACACAGAAGCAGGAGGTACAATTGCAGGCCCAGCTCTTAGAAGAAGTAAGAGGCTTACTGGGTCAATCTTTATAAACTCAAATCTACAGAGTAAGGAAAAAAACTAAAAAAACAGTTGTTGTTTTGGGTTTGCTTCTCCCCTAATTTGCTTAAAACTCTGGTTTTCAATTATTTAATAAACATACCTTAATTGATCCAAGGGCCCCAATTGCTACTTCAGGTGGCAATATCACTGCTTTGGCATAGGTACCACCAATCTAAAAAAAAAAAAAAAAGAGAGAGAGAAGAGTAAAAAATTAAGCTTTGGGGTTGAGGGCAAATGGCAAAGAACATTTTGTAAATTTTAAATGCGTACATGGTCAGAAAGAAATCTTTAGTTAAGCTTATGAGGACGAACATGAGTGTTACTCACAGATCCTATATTGGAAAGGGTAAATGTCCCTCCTGTGAGCTCAGAGGTGCTGAGTTGACCCGCAGAGCCCAGTTCCTGAAGGCGGTTCAATTCTGAGGCAATCTCAAATATAGAGAGGATCTGCACATTTTTCACATTTGGGACGATCAACCCCTGCTCCGTATCCATTGCTATCCCAATATTATGAGAAGCCTAAGAAATAAAAATGAACAAGAATGGCTTTTAATAAGTTAATGGAGAAGAAAGTATCAGCCTTGCTTGTCTTCTAAAACAACTATCAAACATTTTTACAGACTGGCAATGATTAAAAAGTTTTAAGGCTTTTTTTTTTATTTTGTGTGCGTGTACCATCAAATCAGATCTGACTGGTACAGGAGGAGATTGTTCCTCCTTCTCCAGCAGAGCATCTGGTGGATTTGAACCATGCACCTCTGGGATTGCAGTAAGGCTTTTTTTTTAAGAAAGATAATAATTTACAGATAAGAATGTAGGGAAACAGGCCATCTCCTTACATTGTTAGTGGAGATGCAAGGTGGTATAGACTTTCTGTGGAACATCTGACAGTATATACCCAAAAGTCCATATAGGAGATATGTGCAAAAGTGAAGAATAAGATCCACTGTTATCTATATATATATATTTTTTTTGGGGGTATAAACAGTAAGATTTATTGAGCTGTATCTTAGTACAGACGCTGGGGCTTGCCCATGGCGCTCTTGATATACAAAGCCCGAACATTCTGCCAATTCTTCTTTAGCAAAGAAACCAGAAAGCTGACAGCCAGATGGATGTTGTAAACAAGTTCATCATCTGTCATCTTCACATGGCCAACAGCCACTGCCAGACACAGGACCTTTTTCATCTGGAATTTGATGGTGGACTATCCATGTAGGTCAGAACAAGTGCAGAAAGTTACCATTACTTTAGTGCAAGAAAAGGCTCAAAGCCTTTTCAATGATTCAAAAGTTGTAAGTGCAGCAAGTGAAGGTGATTGTAATAAAGAATGTTTCAAAGAAGGGCTGAGTATGAACTGGTTCAGACATTTAAAAATGAAGGCAAATTTATAAATCATTAAAGGGCAAGTAGAAGAAGTTGTCCATAAGTCCATAATCTGGAGACTTACTGTATCCAGACATGCATATGGATGCTGAGTACTGAATGTTTCTAAGTTTGAGAAACCACAAATCACCAAAATGTTTATCAGTACATCAATGGTTAAATAAATGGCACCACAGATAGATGTATTGATATGTAATGATGTCCATGATAAAGAAAAATTAAAACAAAAGAAGTTAAATAAAAACTACTTATAATCCCATATCGGCTTTAAAAAGCATGTGAAAACAAAATCCTGAAAGTATATCTCAAGATAAACAGTTAGTTTAGGGACATAACTAAAGGATCATTATTACTTTCTTGTCTGGGTTTTTTTGCAGTAAAAATATATTAAGATGAATATAACCAACTTCTCACCTTTCTAATTCAACTTTAACCATGAAACAGAAAACCAAGTGTACTTATAAGTCTTTCTGCATTAATTGTAATATGTTAGCACAGATCCTCAACCTATCTAAGCTCACTTTCTGGCTGGATACTTCTAATGAGAAATGTACATAATGACTGACATCTCAAAAAGAATCATCATCCTTAACAATCATTTACTCCAAACAGGAGAGTGTACACAAACGGAATTCAAGAACTCATTACTTCCGTCTTACAAATGGTTCTTTTTCTTTTTTTTTTACAAATGGTTCTTTAAAAAATTCAATGAGGGCGACTTTTTGACGAGAGGAGATATAGGCTGAGTAACATAATATACTGTCTCACAGCTGCAGATTTCCAGTTATCTTGGGCAGAAAAACAAAAGGGCTTACAAAACCAGAACTCTGTATACCTGAATAGCACACTGTTCAGGATCAATAATAAAGCTAATATCAGTATAAATCATAAAAATAACCAAAAAAGAAACCTTGTCCCAACCAAACAAGCTCCAATTTGTGTAAATCAGAAGGAAAGTGCAAATATTTTCAACCAAAAGGCAGGACGATTTGGAAAACAGGACTCTCCCATTACATTCCACATCTCACTGTATCTTATTCCAGATATTTAATTACATTATTTTAAAAAGATTGCTATTTGAAGCACAATAGAAGCATGTCTAACCTACAGGTGTAGTCTCATCATTTTATGTTTTTAAAAAGACCATTTCCATAATGCATGACAAACCTTATATGTTATGTTTTGGCAGGCTTCATCCACAGAGGCATTAAGGATTGGAAACTGCAATAATCCCAAGGAAGCAGCCTGTTTAACAGAAAGATAATTCAACGTTAGCACATTTAATTCTAAGAAGAGATGAAGCGAAGCTGTAAGATGAAGCGTAAAAGAATGATGGAACTCTTATTTTTGCTAAGCTTAGTTTCAAGTCTGTGTTTTCCTAGACTTATTATCCAATGTAACCTTGAAGCAATGTGGAAAAGGTCACCCTAATCATTTAAGAAGAAAAGAGAAAATAATCAGGCAGCTTGTAGACATCAATGAGGTTTTAAGAAAATGCAAACTGATCAAAGCACCATATAAAATGTCTATGGACATTTCATAATATTGAGAATCTTAATATTTCCCTGAGAAGAAAACTTACAGTTCAAAATGCACTTTGAATGAATCCAAATAAGTAGATAAGCATCTTTCCTACATAGAAAGTATAGTACAATCGCTGGGTATCCTTAGCTAGTGAAGGCAGAAATGGGGCCTATATGTACTTTATTATAATATTTTCCCCAATTGTCTGAAATTTCTATAACATTGCTCCGTAGATGGTGTAGAGCAAGGTCAAACTACGTCAACTCTGCTCTTCCACACAGCGTAGGAATGAATACACAGGGTCACACCGCACCCCAGAACGCTAGAGGCTTGCTGCAATGTTTACTCTAGCACCGCCCGTGTCACCTTTTCACCTCTTTCACTATTAATTTTCTTTGTTAATATGATTCCTATGCATTAAGATGAAGAAAATATTTCTTCATTTTATTATTTATTAATATCTTTCCTGACTCATAGCAACCCTGACACGAAATGCTGCCAGGGCCTGTGCCCTCCTTGCAGTCATTGTTGTGTTTGAATCCACAGTTGCAGCCACAGTGTCAATTCATCTTTTTGAAGACCTCCTTTTTCACTGACCCTGTTTTTCCAAGCATGATGTCCTTCTTCAGAGACTGGTCTCTCCAGAGCACAAGACCAAAGCATCAGAGACAAAGTCTCATCATCCTTACTTTTAAGGAGCATTCTGGCTGTACTCTTTTCAGGATGTATGTATATTTTTTCTTCTGGTCGTCCATAATATTTACTATTCTTTGCCAACACCATAATTCAAAAGCATCAACTATTCTCTGACTTCCTTATTCACTGTCCTTATTCATGTACATGAAGTGATGGAAAATACCCTGCTGGGTTTTAGTCAGGCATACTGTACACCTCAAACTGATACTTTTGCTTTGTAATACTTTAAAGAGGTATTTTACAGCACATTTACCCAACGTTATATGTCAGATTTCTGTGTTCATGGTTGTTGATTGCAGATCCAAATAAAATTAAACTCTTGACAAAGTCAATCTTTTCTCCATTTATCAGAAGTTGTTTATTGGTCCCATCTGCGGTAAGGAATTTTGTTTTATGTTAAACATAAAGTGTAACTCACAGAGAAGGCTATTGGGGTGTTTTTTTTTAATCTTCATCAGCTGTTGTTAAATGCCATCAAGTCAAGCATGACTCATAGCAACCCTATGAATACAAGACCTGAATCCTGTTCTTTAACTATCGTTTCTCTACATTCATGGAGTTTCCACAGTCATGTTGTTTAGGAAATGGATGCCACTCCTGCACCCAAACCTGTCTCAGTCTGGGAGGTTCCGTAAACACTGTCCACAATGGGTAAATATTATGGCATTTGACAGCAGTGGCATAACGTTCAGCATCACAGCAAACCCCAAGTTACTTCAGTATAGCAAATTGACAGACCAGTGCTGTACCACTTAGAAGAATGTTCATCCCAAACACTAGCAGCATTGGGAGCCAACTGCCTTTTAAATACAAGGCCTGCCCACCAGGTCCTGACTGACTCTAGACAAGAGGTTTCCGGCCCACAGCTGAAATGTTCTTCTACTTTCAGCAAGGAAGATTATGTCATTTGCATATCATAGGCTGTTAATAAGTCTTCATCCTAATAATTGATGTCATCTTTTTCTTCATCAAGTCCTGAGCATCTTAGAATATCTACTTAATATGAAGGAGCTCTGTTGGTATGATCCATAGAGAGTTGTGCTGTTAAACTGAAGGCAGCCAACTCAAATTAACCAGGATCGCTTTGGAAGAAAAATGGGCAATTTTTTCCCATGAAATTTATGGCCTCTGAAATCTTGCTAGAGGATTGATCAGCTACAAGTCAGTTCTGACTTGACAGCAATGAGTTTTGAGATACAAATTAAATAAGCTTGGTGAAAGGATACAAACCTGGCATACATCTTTACTGATTTTAAACCATTTAAAGCGTACAGTTTAAAATCTTGTCCTAATTAAACAATTTTTGCCTGGTCTATGTACATACAGGTTCTACAAAAGCACAGTTAAGTATTTAGATTTCACAGTCTTTCTCATGTTATTTTTGATATGATTTTTATAATTAGAAGAGAGCCAAACAAAAAGTTTCAAAGGGTTACTTGAGGAAACAAAGTATTCTAATGAGCCACACAGTCAAATACCTTTGTATAATCAATTAAAACAGAGAGGAACTCTACAACCAGGAGAAGATAAAATAGATGAAAGGGACCTTCTAAGAATCAAATCCCTACGCACATCCAAAAACTTCTCCAACAGGGTAAAAAAGGAAGCCACAGGCCGGGGAAAAAATATTTGGTAATGACATGTCAGACAAGGGACTTAAATCTAGAATTTATAAAACACTTGAGCACCACAACAAGATAAAGGTAAATAATCCAATTGAAAAATGGGCACAGGATATGAACAGACACTTCACCAAAGAAGACATTCAGATGGCCAACAAGCACATGAAGAAATGTTCAAAATCCCTAGCTCTAAGAGAGATGCAAATCAAAACAACTATGAGATATCATCTCACCCCAGTCAGAATAGCAAAATTTAACAGAACAGCAAGCAACAAATGCTGGTGAGGTTGTGGAGATTGGAACCCTTATTCACTGTTGGTGGGAGTGTAAAATGGTGCATCCGCTGTGGAAGGTGCGATGGCGCTTTCTCAAAAAGTTGCAAATAGAGATACCATTTGACCCAGCAATTCCACTACTGGGAATATATCCCAAAGAGACCATAACTGACATCCAAGCAGATATATGCACACCCATGTTTATCACGGCTTTGTTCACAATAGCAGGCAGTTGGAAACAACACAAGTGCCCATCAACAAATGAATGGATAAAGGAGCTGTGGTATATTCACACAATGGAATACTACGCTGAATTGAAAAAAAAGGAACTCATGCAATATTATTCAAAATGGGTGACCCTGGAGGACATTATGCTGAGTGAAATATCTCAGTCACAAAAGGACAAATATAGCATGGTGCCAGTGCTGTAAAATGGGACTGGTATCAGGGTTGTGGTAAGACTGAGAAAAACTGGATAAATTGTGTATACTGTGACTGAAACAGATGAGGGAGAGAATAATTTAAAAGTGAAGTTATGATAGGGTCTTATGGTTATCACAAGAGTCCACAATTAAGGTCGCATAGTGGAATGTACTTGGGGTGGTGGTAGGGGTGTGGGGGGATTGTGTACCAGGGAGGGAGTGTTTATTTTACTTTTCAAAGAGAGGAGTGAACTGGGGTGGTGAGGAGGGCTGGGCGGGGAGAGAAATGCGGCAATGATGAATGGAAATCCAAAATCTCTGCAAATGTTCATTAAAATTATTAAAAACAAACAAAAAACAGAGAGGAACACTTTCCTAGTATTCTCTGCTGTTAGCCAAGATCAATCTGAAATAATCAGTGAATCCCTTTTTTCTATATCATTTTTTAAATCTGGCTTAGGTTTCTAGCAGTTCCCTGTTAATCCAACACTTTTGGAATGATGCTACTGTTCAATAATTACTCTACCTTGTAGCATGATCTTTCTTCGGAATGAACATAATTATGAATCTTTTCCACTTGGACAGGCAGTTATCTTGACATAAATGAGGTGCAAGCACTGCTAGTATTGCATTTGTTTGCTGAAATATTTCAATCTGTATTACCAATTTCTGGAAACTTGTTTTTTGCCAGTACCTTGAGTTCAGCGTCACTCTCTTCAATACCACTGCTCCTTGCTCATATGCTATTTCCTGTAACCTCAACCAATTCTTTCTGGTATAGTAACTTTATGTTCATCTTCTTTTTATGCCACCTGCACTGTTTAATATTTTTCCAAATAGAGTCAATATTGCAACTTGAGGCTTCAGGTTTTTCCCCAGTTCTACTTTAGAAATGCTAAGCATGTTCTTCTATTTTGGTTTTGTAACTATTATTCTTTGCACATTTTATCATAATATGTTACTCTGTCTTCTCAAGTAGCACTTTGAAAGCTTCTGTTCTCTTCGTCATTTCTTCTATCAGTTTAATCTTGGCTGAAGTGCAAGTATCAGAGTCTCCTCGGACATTTATTCTGATCTTTCCTTTCTTTCCTGCATTTTTAAATGACTTTTTTGCCTTCATGTTTGATGCCCTACCACAATTTATCTGGTCTTGGGCTATCAGTATTCAATGCATCAGATATGTTCTTAAGATGATCTCTGAATTGAGTAAGGATATACTCAAGACACTTAGCTCTCATGGACTCATTTTCATTTTCTTCAGCTTCAACATGAATGTGAGCTCTTTCCACTGATTTAGTTGATTTCATTCCTGTGGATTCCAATCAGTGAGGTCTACATGTACGGCCATATGCATGCTGCAAAAAATGTATAAGCAATGATTTGCAAAAAAAAATAAAAAATAATAGGGCTTGTGAAATTCTATCATTCCCATGATGTTTCTATAGAAGGCCGTATTTTCCAGGTGGCCTAGTAAAAAAGAGTTGGCTGGCAAACCAAAAGTATGTGGTTAGAATCCACCAGTTGCTCAGCTAGAGAAACATGGGCAATCTCCTCCTGTCTCTGACTCAATGGGAAACAACAATCCTTCTTTGGAGCTTTGGTGGCATAATTCATAGAGAGTTGGACAGTTACCACAAATGCTGCTATCTGAATCCATCAGTGGCTTCTTGGGAAAAAGGCAATCTCTTCCTGTTGTAATCTACAGCATCAGAAACTCAATGGAGCATTATTGGAGTCACAACCAGAATGGATGGCTTTGAGTTTATACTTCTTCATTTTCAACTTTCACGTTCCAGTCACCAGAAATTATCAATGCACGTTGATTGCATATCTGATTTACATCAGCCTGAAGATGTTTTAAAAACTTGTAATTGCTTCTTCTTTGACACTAGTGAGATTAGTTCAAATTAGTGAGATCAAATAAAAAAGTGTTCTAACATGTATATCAACATTTAAAGCAGCATTATTCACCATAGCAAGAACAAAACAGCCCAAATGTCTAACCACAAACGAATGGATTGAGAAATTATGGTATATTCAGACAATGGAATACTATGCAGCACACAGGAGCAATAA